TTTTGATGTTTTTTTTGTTTTTTTTCACGAGCTCAATCAAAGTCACCATAGCTAATCGGAACTAGCAACAGGATCTGGTTGCTTGAAAGAATGTTCACGTTTGCTCGTACCACGCCCACGCCACTTCATACCAAAAAGGTCGAAAAATGGCGGAACGTAAAAAAGGTATTTATGATAATGAGTACAAGATACTCAGAAATGTAATTAAGATAGTGTATCAAATATTCTCGATCAATAGTATTTGCAAGATACCAAGATACTTCAAAAAGTATTTTAAATACTGTATCTTGAGTAGAGTATTTGAGATAGGCACAAGTCTGCATAGACATCAAGGCAGCTTGCTTTGAGGTCCACCAACTGTCCTTTAATCAGAGCCAATCAGATGCTCGTCATTTTTCTGACATCATTGCAACTCTTGTGCAAGAAGCAGACGACTTGCTCTCCGCGTTGCAATAAAAGCAGTGAGAATCCGCACGACGAAGCGGAAGCTTCACGAAACCTGATGAAAGCATCGGTGATGAATCTTTCTATGTAGACGGTGCGAGTATGACCGGCTACTGTCTAATTGGCTTGGATCTTCCCTGCAGCATCTTTCAAGATGGAGCGCTGTGCATAAAAAGTCCAACAAGGGAGAAATAATTGAGTGAAGTTTTGAATCCTGCATAAATGTCACCTGCAGTGAGTGTAATGCTCTTTATGTGCTCGAAACATCCAGGCGCACTGCGGGCGACGCCTTTGACGTAAATCGAAAGTTTGTTTATGCCCTTCGCACCTGCGGAAGAGAATTGACAGCTGATTGCATCATGTGTGCTGTGATCAGTCTACCGCCACCTTCAACAAAGTTTGCGTTGTACAACGCGAGGCTTCTCGATGCATCCACGACCACTGTGAGCAATAGCATGGCAAAAGCTGCGAAAGAACTGAAGGAAGAGGCCTCCACCTCTGATGGGGAGCTGGAAACTGCGGTCACAGTGGATGGCACATGGATAATGGGGGGTTATTCCTCACTAGATGGTGTCGTAGCAGCAATATCGGCCGACAGGAAATGTGCTAGACTTCGAAGCAGAATCTAAGTTTTCCAACATGTGTGCCCGCAACCTTCACACAGATGACAACTTCAGTGCATGTAAAATTACCTACAATGGGCCATCTGATGGAATAGAATCCTGCAGAAGCTGTAAAAATCCTTGGACACTGTTTAAAAGCACCAACTGATGTACACAACTTACATCGGTGATGGGGACAGCAAGGCGTACTTTGCTGTTAGAGACTTGCAGCCCTACATTATAGACCGTAGAAAAACGTGAATGTGTTGGACACGTCCAGAAGCGTATGGGCAGCAGGCTTCGGAACATGTATGAGAAGGGGAAAAAGCTTTCAGATGGTCGGACTCCGACACACTACGGGAAAAAACGCCTCACAGAAAAGGACATAGACTCCCTTCAGGTTTACTATGGCAAGGCTATTCGGGGGAAATACAGACAGTTTGGAGAATATTAGACGAGCTGTATGGACAACATTTTTTCATAAGTTATCAACAGATATACCAAGCCCAATGGGGCCATGTTGATGGTGGTTTTTTACTCCACAAAAACTACATTGATACTTGATACTACATTGGTACCTTGATACCCCCACAAAAACTACATTCCTGAGGCTGGGATACGAGTCATCAAGCCAGTGTGCAAGGTGGTGTCAGATCCAGGTCTTCTGACCAAATGTCTTCATGGACGAACACAGAACACCAATGAGTCGCTGAACCAACTCATCTGGGGCCGCTGCCCCAAGACCACATTTGTCAGTCCCGACACATTGAAGACAGCAGCTAACGATGCTGTGGCCTACTACAATGACGGTACTTCTGTTCAAAAAGCTGTTCTGGAGGCCCTTGAAATTGGTCCAGTTGTGTTTTGGGACATTGCCCTCAACAGGATGGACAGAGTGTGTTGACAGGGCAAAATTCGACCCTGCCAAGAGCAAGAAAAAACATGAACACTAGGAAGGGTTTTGGAGAGACCAGCAAGAAAGCCAGAAGTGGGTGGGATCTGGCCAACTCGTCGAAAGCCAACTCGTCCACGGCTAGCCCGTCGAAAATCTGATCCATTAGGCGGGCAAGTTTGTCGGCCCTTTGCACAGAGGGTGCACAACGTCACAGCACCAAACTCAAATTGGGGGATGTAGTGGATGGGATCTGGCCAACTCGTCGAAAGCCAACTCATCCACGGCTAGCCCGTCGAATAGGGCAATTCGTCGAAGGGAAACTTGTCGGAAGGGGCAATCTGTCCAAGGGCGATTCATCGAATGGGTTGAATGACGGTCCGAGGTAAAAGTTTATTGTTCCTTGTTATCTTTTGACCTATAATTTGTATTTGAGTTTGTACTAAAGCAAGTGCCCTTTTTAGGTGAGAAGACGGAAAGAAAATCACAAGAGGGCAAAGACAGGACAGTACCTCGAGATAAGTTGAGAATAGTTCATTTTGGGATCATCCTTTTTTTTGTTTTCTTTATTACTTTTTTGCACTGAGTCGCCGCAGACTGTCGCCGTGAAACGGCGTACTGCATGGTGGGCCAGGTGGGTTAGCATTCCTGTTATGACTCACCGCAGACTGTCGCAGTGTGAACAGATGGGTTGGGCAGGTTAACACACGCCCCAGCGATACACGCGCGACGTAGTGATCGTCCCCCACTACACCAGGAAAGCAATGGAAGCTGCAAGTTTTCTTCAAAAACGGCACAGAGGAGGTCTATTACTGTGCGGCAATATTACGTATTACTATAGGGCAGGATTTGCTTTAAAATTTCAGGACAAAAATTATATATTATGGCTTTGAAACAGTGGCGACCAGTTGGCCTCTTCGACGAGTTTTCCTTCAACGAGTTGCCCTATGGCGACTTCGCCCATTCGACAAATGGGCCGCCGACGAGTTGGCCTAGACCTGTGGTGGATAGATCGAAAGGCAGTGCTATATGCCAGTCGTAGCCGTGACTGCCTTGCCTTTCCTGCAGCTCTCAAGAACCCACTGGTATTTCACAAAAAAAAAGAAAAAAATGGTGTTCGAGAAGGGGTGGAGGGAATAACCTCAAAACATATACAATGTCTTTCTCGACTACTACTACACTACCAGACGAGCCACGGCATTATGTTCGATGCTGCTAAGAAAATTTTATCATGATCTGTGTGTCGGTGTGGAGTCTGGTAAGGTAGGAGGTTGTATTTTCAAAGCTTTTGATAAGGTAAGCCATTGGCTCTTGGTGAATCAACTATGGCACCTGAACCTCGACTTCGACGTTACTCTCTGGCTGCAAGCATTTCTAGGTGATCGAAGACAATCTGTAGTTTTGAATGGATGCAAATCAGACTTTTGTGTCAGTTACGTACCGCAAGGGTCAGTGTTAAGACTGCTGCTTTTTCAGATTTATTTGAACAGTATAGTTCAAAATGTATCCCCTCGTGTTAAGCTGTTTGCCGATGATTGTATGTATACTTCATAGAACAATTTGTGATGGCAATGCCCAATATACATTGCAGTATGACCTGTTACGGATTAAAGAATGGTATACAGAATGGAAAATGCAACCAATGTCAACAAATCCAAACATATGCGATCCTCTAGAAAACTTCTGAAGCCAACACCTGGACATCTGTACAGGATAGACCACCGTGTATTAGAAAGCGTGCCAAACAATCGCTACTTGGGTGTAATGTCTTTTTTAAACTTAATGTGGAGCTTGCATGTCAATTATCTAACTCAGCGGTTCTCAAATGGAAGTCCGTGAAGCCCTGTCTCATTAGTCAAGTCCGGCAAGGAAAGCTGTCTTTTTTACAGATTGAGAAAAAACGTTCCAACTTTTGGGCGAGTTTTCTCGTATGTATGTCAATGAGAGAAGTCTACTTCAAACTAGCCAAGCCCTTAGTTATATCCATTTATTAGATCATTATCATAATTAACCCATACCTTTCTTTTCCCCTCACCATGAACAAGGTCATCTATCATCTGTGCCAATCGACAAGGGGTCCGCGAAACATTAATGGTTGAGAACAGCTGGTCTAACGATCCACAAGGAGTCTGCAAAACATTAACGGTTGAGAACAGCTGATCTAACTAGAACGGCTAAAAGAATGTTGGGCTTTCTCGAAAGAAACTTCAAATATTGTAATAAAGAAATAAAAGCCACCCTTTACTTTACGTTTATTCGATCAATTCTAGGTTATGCATGCACACTATTTGGGTCCCTGCTACAAATGAATGAATCGATAAAATAGAAGCAATACAAAACAGGAGCACTAGATTTGTATTAAATAATTATCAATCCTCCCAAAGCGTTTCCAAAATAAAGCATGCGCTAAACTGGCTAATTTTAGCTACCAGACAAAAGAAAACAACTTGACGTTGAAATTCTTTTACTCCTTGTTTTCATGACCAGACATAATCCAAAAGGACAAACCCTTAACGAGCCCGTATTATGCATCCCAGAGTCTAGACCACATTTTCAAAGTGCAAACTGTATCATCATGCCAATCAGCATTTTTTATTCGTACAGGTAGGGACTGGAATTTGTTGTCATCCTCATAATTTCCTGTGGCGTATTCACAGTGTGTATTTTGCACGTGCTTGTGTAACCCTGCTATAATGCCCTAATGGGTGCAGCGAGACCCAATGCAAATAAATAGGTTCACTAAAAAAACTTGCAGACGAGATGCTGTTTGCTACCCAGCAAAGAAAATGCCATATGCAGGAACTGAGCTTCCACACACATGATCATTTCGTCTCCCATTTTTATGTCTCTTCTCTGATATGCTGTGCGGCATGGTTCAGCCAATTTACTTGCAGTATTATTTTTGGCTTAAAATGTCTGTTGCTGGTCATGTGCAAAATTCAAAGCCGACTACACTGCGTGGACGACAGAGTGGCAGACATGATTTGTCAGCAGGTGGGAGAAACTAGTTCTAAGAAATCAAAACATATGAAGAAACCCATCAGGAGTGACCAATGAACCAATCTGCACTAAAAGACAATTTTAATGCCGAAACATTGTCCCTGGTAAACTCTGAATAAAAGACAATCCCCGAGGACTCTGAAATAAATACAAAGCGTTAAAATTAATGCCGAGTGCTACATACAAAGCAATACAAATGGACAATGTTTGATTAGACTTGCAAATGATTACATGCAACGAGTGCACAAAGAAAATCAATGTAAGTGAACCAGATGCAGATGTACACGAAACTACATGGCACACGGTCAAACCTGGATGCAGAAAGAAGTGAACACATGACCTGCCCTTCACATCAATGAAATTACAACTTCAAAACATTATGTACACGGCGGACATGGAAGCACTCGCCTCGACGTGTTTCAGAGGCCCGTGAGAATGTACACACGCACCCGCACATCCGCACTCGCACATCATCACTTGTATCTCATTCGCAGTTCTTCAAGGTCCTTCTTGCGGTCCTTCAACAACCGTGCCAGCTCCTCTTTCTCCTTCTTAGGGGCCATATCGGGGGATGGCGACAGAGCGACCTCCTCCACCGCAGTTGCACAGCCGAGAACGTCGATGACCGTGCCCTGGCACAGTGTAACCGCGGAAGATTCGGCCTCGACAAAAAGTTGTTCTTCATCGCACTTGGCGAGGTCGACGCGACCGTTGTGTAGCAGAGAGTCCCTGATGTGGTGCATCACCACCATGCATGGCACGTCGGATAAATTGGCGCAGTTCACGGGAATGTGGGGGGTGGTCCGCCTGGCTCCCTTATTGGCAGGCTTCTGCCGCTGTCTCGACGCCTTCTTTGAACGCCTCCTCCTTTTTCGAGCAGGGACCAAGCCACGCTCCTCGCCCTCCGCAGCCTTCCGTTTCGCACCTCGTTTCCGAGGCGGCTTCGGGGCAGCAGCCTTTGCTCTCTTCCGCTTGGCTGCTGCTGCCATGGCCCGCTTCTGTCGTTTCGTGGCGGGCCTCTTGTAGGTCGCACAATTGCTGTCGTCGGATCCGGGGGAGCTCGGAACGAAGTTGTCCGAGGAAGAACTATCGCTCCCGGAGTCTTCTTCGGCCCCCCGGACGCTCAAGAGCATGTTAGCTTCCTCCAAAACGACTTCTGGCTCGAGGAGTGCCCTGAACTCGTCTCCGTCGCACGTGTCCGTTTCTGAAAAGTCGAGCATGGCAGAGCTGGTAGCTTCGGGTTTTGTTTCCGGCGCCTCGGGTATCGGCGGCGCAGGGGCCCCGCCCGGTTTGGCCTCGCTTGTGGTTGCCTCTGGTTTCTTGGCGACGTACTGGACCATAATTTGCTTCGAGGACTGCAAGGTCTTGGAGCCGCTCTCCTGGATGGCGCTGGACACGAGCCGCTGCAGTGACTCTGGAGGCATCAAGGGCAGCGTTGAGCCCGACGTGCTGCTGTGTGGTGCTACGGCTCGTGAGAGAGAAATGGGCACTATCTGCATGAAGGCTGGAGGGTTCGCATTTGACAAAGGTGCGCTCGAAAGCCTCGCTGGGGTCTGACTGCAAGGCGCAGCCGTGCTCGTCGTTATGGGCAACAGGGTCCGGTTGTCAAGGAACATTTGTTGGAGCACGTCTCCGTTGTTCTTGACGATCTTGATTATGCGTGGTCGGAACCCAAACTGCATGCCCTCGGGCGGAAGTGCACCCGTCATCTGTAGTCGGCTGGCCCAGCCAGCCGGAGGGTCGATACTCACTACTTCCCCGTTACTCTTCACAACCTTGATGGGGTAGCCGTACAAGTGTGCTTGCGCAACCGGAGCATTGGTCGGGATGCCAGCATTGTTGTTCTGGGGCAGCTGGGGCACAGCACTGCCCTGGTTAAAACCCAGGTGCATGACCGGAGGGCCAACAACCTGAGGCTTTATCGGTGCTGTCGCAGCTTGATGTTGGCCCGGTGCAGACAGAACTTGATGTTCGTGTGGCACGGCTGCAGCTTGCTGACTGCTCAACGTGGTTGCGACCTGAGGGTCGCTTGGTATGCCGAGCAATTGATGCTGAGTCTTGACACAAATGCTTGACACAGAGCTTACTGTTGGTCCCCCAGGCTTGGGTTGAATGTACTTCGTCGGCTTCACCTTGGAGATGTCCATTCTCGGTGCAGTTACTTTGTCGGTCTCGGAGTTCACTATGACGCAACGAGAAGTCGTCAACGGCTGCGTCGACAACATTGACTGTGGCACGGGCGTGGCAGCCGCGGGTGGTGCGACACCGGAGCTATTGGCTGGTTGTCCATCGGGGCCATTTTTAAAGTGAAAGGTCCTTATGTCTTTTCCATCCCAATGCAGAGACAGCAACTCGTCCTGGGAAAAATAGTTTGGAATCTTGTTGGCTTGCAGGAACTTCTCAATGCCATCCTTGATGGCATTCGAATTGAGAGATGCACTGCTGTCCGACGTAATGACAATGCGGCGCAGCGGTTTTTTCATACTCTCTGGAGGTGAGAAATTAGGCATGTTGCCCAAGCTCTGTTTCGTTGGGGGCACTTTCACCGCAAGGCTGTCAGCAACACTGTCTTTTGCTGGAGTTACCTTTGATGAAACCTCATCCAAGACAGGCTCCTTCGTCACAGTGTTTTTAGTCGGCGAGCCCCCGGGCACTGATTTCTCAGCTTCGCTTCCCTTTGAGGACATTAGCAGGCATGTGTCCTTCTTGATCTTGTTGAACATGCTCTCCAACATCGACCTTTGCGCTTCGTCAAACGCACTGCGTGACCTTAGTGTGACTTCTTCTATCTGAGCGATCGCTTGTTGAAGTTTCTCGCAAACGTCATCTTTTGATCCCTCCAACTTTGATGTGACATTTGTTGACCCTGATGATGCCTCCGACTTCAATGGGGCCACAGTCTCTCGTTTCATGGGCTGGGGCTGCTCAGTCACAATCTCGATTGAAACTGCCTTTGGTTTCGCAATAACGACATCCTGCTTTTCAGTCGACTGCGACGGAAAAACCGTCATATTTGCCGCCAATAATGAAGCATCTGACAACAGTTCCTTCACGGTCCTGCCAGCCCGCTGTTGTTTTTTGTCGGACAGCTGTTGCGAAGCATCTGACAGCAGTTCCTTCGTGGTCTTGCAAGCCCGATGTTGTGTTTTGTCGGACAGCTGTTGCGAAGCATCTGACAGCAGTTCCTTCACGGTTTTGCAAGCCCGCTGTTGTTTTTTGTCGGGCGGCTGTTGCGAAGTGCTATCAAGATTCCAGGGCTTTGGTTGGTCCTTCGAGTAGAGTTCAGACACAAACTGTTGGCACCAGCTGGCTTCAGTTTTACTGCTTTCAGAGACTTTTTGCTCCTCAGCAGGCACCTCTATGTCAGCCTCCTCTTCCTCTATGTTGTCCCAGTTCTGAATATCTGCAAGGCTCATGACGTTTGAGATGACTGGCATCATAAACTTTTCTTGCTCATTATGCTCGGTATTTTTTCCAGGGGGACACCTCAGGCCTATGACTGAAGTGATGAAACAATCTTCCATTTCAATGTCTGCACCAGAATTACCCTGATTCCTATGAACTGCACTCGGCTTTTCTATGTCGCTCTTAATCTTCGAGTCTGAAGTGGGGAGCAAGCTTGCGGCCTTAGGCTTTGGTTGAGCAGTCTTGCCAAAAGAAGCTGGGTTCCTTTGCTCATTTTTCATCTTTATGTCAGAGGTGTGGGCAGAGCTTGCGGTTTCTGGCCTTGGTTGGAGAGCCGGGCCAATAGGATCCGAGTTCTTTCGTCTGCTTATCATCACGTCAGAGGCGTGGGCTGAGCCTGTGGGTTCCGGCTTTGGTTGAGCAGGCTTGCAGATAGAGTCCGGTTTCTTTCCATCCCTTTTTGTCTGTACAGCAGAGGTATGAATCGAGCTTGCAGCTTCTGGCTTCGGGAGAGCAGGCTTGCAGATAAAATCTGGCTTCTTTTGCTCGCTTTTCATCTGTATGTCAGAGGTACGGATTGAGCTTGAGACTTCTGGCCCTGATTGAGTTGCCTTCCCGATAGGATCCAGGTTCCCTCGCTCGCCTTTCACCCTTACATCAGAGGTAAAGGCTGGGCTTGTGATTTCTGTCTTCGAATGAGCAGCCTTGCCGATAGGATCCGGGCTCTTTCGATCAGTTTTTATCTTTGCGCCAGAGGTATGGCTAGAGAGTGCAGTCTCTGGCTTTGGCTGAGCAGCCTTGTCGATAGGGTTCTCGTTCTTCCGATCGCTCGTAATCTTCTCGTCCCGGAAACAAGGCGAGCTTGAGTCCTCTTGCTTGGGTGGAGCGGCCCCGTCGAGACCAGCAACAGAACCGGCTTTACCGCTGGATGTGGAGACTGGCTGCACTGACACCTTGACAGGTTCGTCACCTGCCTTCGGATCGTCTGTCACGAGTTGAATGCTCCTTACATTTCTGACGACAACGGTTGCCGCCTTAGCACTATCCGGGCCACTCGACTGTGCAGTGCAAACCTTAGGCAGACCGAAGCCAAGTGGCGGGAGTTTTGGAGCAAGCGACTGCAGAGGCTTGGAGCTTTCGGAGCTGCACACCTCAATGGCCCGGGGGACAGGGCAGCTAAACAAGACACTGCTTGTGGCTGGCGTCAAAGAAGATGGAACAACTTTTAAAATCTTAGAAGCGCTCGACGTAGTGCTTGGCGTCGAGCTCACGACGCTGTAATGGGCACTAAAGGGCAACGTCTTTTTTGGATGCGGCGGTGTGATGACGACCTCCACTTTCCTCGCGTTCTGAGGGGGTTGGACCGTGATGATTCTCGGCAGACTGGACTTGTGGACCGTAGAAGACGCCGGACACTGGTTGGCAGGACGTGGATCTCCGTCTACCCTCACCGCTTCCACTCTCTTCCCATCCGGTTGCACGATGATGGCTTTCCGGCTCTGCGACGGCTGAAGGCTGCCTTGCGAGGAAATCTTGCCGCCACCGACGACCGTGACCTTTGCGCTAGTGGTGCCCTGTACGCTCTGCCGCAGCCTGTCGACGAACACAACGTTGCTGTTCTGCTTCTGGCAAAGTGCCCCGACTGCAGAGGAGGGCATTGCCGCTGGAAAGATGAGCGTCTTCGTTGCAGCGTCCCATTTGGCTCTCAGCTCCCCGACCACGCTCGTTTCTGGCGGCCCGGTTGGCCTGACATTCTTCTCCTCCGCCACCGGTTTTGTGACAGGGAGCTTCACCAGGATGGGTGGCCCGTTGGTGTGTTGGGCAGTAGACTTTCCCGTTGTCTGAGGCTCGGACGGTGGACCCAAGCAATTCCGTGGCCCCGACATGAGTACAAAGGGACTTCGAAAGGGTCCCACAATGAAGGATTTCTGCGGGATTCTGACTCTAGAAAATGTCCTTGCAGGGGGCAGAAGGCCCGACGGACGTTTGACAGTGACCCTGGACGGCGGTACCGCAGTCCACCCCCTGCTTGAGGGTCCGCCAGCTGAATTGAGCAAAGTCCTCAACGGAACTCTTGGGGCTTCACAATCCGACAGCTCTTGGCCAACGCTCGTGTCAAATGGAATGACGACCTCGTTACTGCAAAAGAGAGAGAAATGGTGTTCCAACTTGGTCACAGTGCAAGTGGGAAAATAAACTTGGAGAGCAAATGCTCTAGCATATGATGTGTTAGAGCGCAAAAGGAACTTATTATCTCAACCATATGCTGTCTGCTCAGATCAGAAGCTCTAACAAATCCTACTGTTACAATATGTCAATATAGCTAGTTTCAGTTTATACCAGTTTCACATTAAAGGCAATCATCATCATCGATCGCCACGAGGGCGAACACTAAAAAAAGATGGCATTCACAGCTATACGCCATGCTTCACTTGTTTCCCCGCTTGACCCACTAAGACAATCTGTCTGGATTACAAAGACACATCAGAGTGGGTGTCAGAAGTGCAACAGTGTAGTAGTGCACCGCAGACTCAGACTGTAAAGTGAAGGTGCTCCTAGCAAGCACCAATAGTAAGCGGCACATCAATGTGACAGGAACAACGGCGTCGGTTCCCATTGGAGCACCAGCATGCATATGCACGTCAGGCAACCTGCGAGCAAGCTGGCAGCAGTTTACACCGATTTAATCCCTACATTGTATCTACCGAGCAAGATAAGAAGTCTGCTCAAAAAAAGGTAGCCCTGCTCCTTACAATTGCCAGTACACCTGCAGTCGAAATATACATCATGTTGAATTTTGGTGCCCCTGCCTAAGAGATCCCTCACTCAGACAAAAACTTAACATTAATGCTCCAAAAGCTTGACGAGTACTATGTGCCGAAATGCCATTAGGTGTATGCATGCTACGTCTTCTGCTGCAAGCATCAACCTGTTGAGACCTTTCTTGTGTTTCTCACAGGCGTGAAACTGAAAGTCAAGGAATGTGGTTTTGAAGAATGTGACAAGATGATCAGAGACCAGGTAGCCTTCGGCATTGCATGTGAAGAGCTGTGCATACAGCTACTGAAGTTGGAAGAGCCTAGAGTCAATATGGTTACGCCAGTATGCACCATTTGTGAAATGTCCGCACAAGAGATGAAGGTAATGTGCACAACGACAACCGGGTTATTGTCATTGGAAAGCAGAATGCAAAGAATTACATGCCAAAATCAGCCAAGACCTAGAGCTAACCATTTAAGGAGACACTGCACCCAGCCTGAGGAAAATCTTTTTCACATGGTGGCAGAGAAAACCATGCACTTTGCAAGACAGCGCAACTAAAAAAACACTGTTCATGCTGTCATGGATGATTAGCTCAGAAGAGGTTCTGACAGTTCAGAAAAGCAAGACTGTTGCATTTGTTGTTGTTAAGATAAGGATGAAGGTTATATCCTTCGGTCAATGCCCGTCGTGCGCGCTAAGTCCCAGAGGGACAGCAGCGTCTCTTTCGCACAGGCACTACTCTTGGGGTTAGAAAGTCTAGAAAACGACTCCGTTCAGTTTGGAGCCCCGCCAACTCCCACAATAGATGTCGAACCATAGGGGGAACGCCTGTAGAACATGTAGAGCAGGTCACCGCCGGGCTGGGAGCCTCGGTTGACTGCGCTGACTCGGCGTGGGAACTCGTGTGTGAGGTGGACGTACCGCCTGGGTATTCTGTAGCAGGCGGGCACCCTCTCTTGGGGGTGCAGGTTCTCCATCAGGCCAGGACGTCTTCAGTAAGAGCGGCCCCGGTGCGTGATTTATGAATGAGCACTTGTGCACCTCTAGGCAGACCTCTCGGTAGGGGTGAAGGGGTCTGCTCCTTGAGACTAAGGCGATCCGCCTTCTTGGCAGCGGCCTTTTCTTCCCAGTGATCAAGGTCGAGTAGTGCAGGTGGGACCGAAATATCAGGGTCGGAGCAGAGACTTGACTTGCGCGCTCGCACACGCATGAGCGGCCTGATTGCCTCGGCCGCCCGCGTGTCCCAGTACCCAATCCACCCGCACCTCTATGTTGTGGGTGGGGAGTAGTTCAGCGCACAGGGTCTTAATGCGCTGGCAGAGGGAGCCCTGACGGGGTGTGAGCCCAAGCCTATAGTGACGGCCTCTCAGCTGTCCGTATAAACCAGAACCCGGATGAGTTCAGAACAGCTGGCTTGAGGTCTGTTCGCCTTCAGATGGGCTAGTGCCAGATGGATGGCATCCAGTTCAAGCGACAGGTGCTGGGGTCTTGTGAATAGTGGTATGTCTCGGCATGCACGTCAGTGCCACTGACCCAGGCAAGGGTGGCTCGTTGGGTGGCTTCGCACCAGGCAATGTCGGTAAAGATGGCTATTGGTATTCTATCTTTGCGGTCGGCTAGGGATGCTCTTTCCTCTCGATGCTCTTCCCAACTGGTTCTTTGGGTGAAAGGCTTGGGGAGACGCACCATGAAGTTTTCCCATGGAGACACTCTTGAGGATTAGGTCTCGCGGCCTCCGTGGAGAATGGCAAGGTACTTGGTGTTGGTGAGTCAGGAGCAGCTGTCCAGCCACAGAGGATAACCGTCGGCAGAGGTGGTCCGCGTTGCAAGTGTCAATTATCGCTTGGATGGGAGGAAGGTCGGCATAGCGGTGCAGATCTTCCGCGCGAGCATGACGGGGGAGGTCCATAATGGCACGGAGGCACGCACGGTGGAGTACTTCCAATTGGGAGATTTCCGCTTTTGTGAGGTCAAAACAAGCAGCTCTGTAGCAAGCCTTGGATATCAGTACTGCCTGTGTGAGGATACGAATAGTGCGGGTACCTGCTCCCCCGAAACGCGTAGCGATGCGTCGGATGAGATGGAGGTGCTGTTTCCACAAAGCCTGAAGTTGCCTGAGCCATTCCCGGGCACATACGACTTAAAGGTTACATATGGGTTACATCATGACTAACGGTCGAAGGAGGAACAAGAAGTGGCGGCAAGTCCACCCAAAACAGAAATGCCGGCCCCCTGGCGGACCGATTCAACACTCCCCCACACCAGAGCCGTATATTGGGAGAGTTTGGCCCGTGGGTGTGGCGACGAAGGTGCCGGAGAGGAGAAAAGTAAATGAAAGGGAGGAGAGCGCCGAAAAAGCGAGAGAGAAAGAAGGGAGCAGAGAGGAGACGACAGCCATTTTTTAGCAACGCTGTCAGAGAAGAGCGCTGCTGAGGCTACGCGTCGTCTGCTACGGGCCGACTTCTTATTCGCCTGAATAAAAGTTTGTGGCCATAAGCCGAAAAATCTTCATTTATTAGCTTTTTAACCCACTGAGGAATAACAGAATGTAATTTTCTTGCCAGAGCCAGCAATATAAAAGGCAATAATCGAGATTTAGATGCCGATCCCACGCATTCCGCCAGGAGAATGATCGAAGATGGCGGCCCTCCCCACTCAAGTGGGAGCAGCCGGGAGATCACGCGCATGCGCTCATGCCTCTCGCTCTACGCCGCGTGCTGATTGGCTCACTTGGGAGGAGAGCGTTACGGCGGCGAGATCATAGACTGACCAAACTCTCCCCATATACGGCTCTGCCCCACACGAGCTGAAGGTCCGAACTGGTGGTCTACGTGCACGAACAGGGCGTCCTGTTCTGGGATCCGGTGGCCAATTAGTGTACGACTCGAGAAGGGTCAAGTTCTGATGGCAAAGGCGCAATTGATCAATGTGGCATGTTATTGAGATGTGATGGGACTGCACTAAAGCCATACAGTTACCCAATACCCTCGTGATGGCCCCTGGCACCCAACATTTACCAACTCCAATGTTCCTTGCAAAAACCAAAGTGCCTTCTTTGAGATTGCTTAGTCCCTCCATGTCTGCCCTTGTGTCTTAAGCCAAAGTGGCGAGGTCCATGCACACCTTCAGGTGGAAGTTGAGCATTATCTCAGCTGGAGATTGGACTCTTGTAGCCCATGGTGTGCGACAGTGCACAAGTAGCCATCTTGCCAAGTGTGTGGCGAGGGAATCTCCTGAGTTTCCTCAAAGCATCCTTAACCATCCTCACTGCTCCCTCTGTAAGACCATTCAATTGTGGATGGTTAAGTGCAGCTCTTAGCTGGCAAATCCCATTTTGGGATATGAATTTGGTAAATCATGATCAGGTAAATGGTGCTCCATTGCTGGACACGAGACAGACAGGGAGTTTAAAATGGGCAAAGAGATTTCTCAGATGCTCAACTGTGTCTGCAGAAATTGCAGCTGGCGTTGGTAGAGCTTCAATCAAGCCAGAGCAATTGTCAACCACAATGAGCACCATGGTATCCTCGATAGGTCCAGCATAATCCACGCGGATTCTTGTCCAAGGTGTAGTGATCACAGGCCAAGCTCGTGGTACTACAGTAGAACCCGTTTATAACGAACTGCATAAAACGCTACGTCTAGTTCGATATATCAAGTAGTTCGTTATGGAGATATTCGCGTATAACGAATTTCTACGATATGTTCGTTATACACGGGTTTATGGACATCGAACAGCAAGAAAACGCGATGCCACTTACTGTTCAAGAAATCCATTTATTGGGAACAATCTATTCACAGTAGGCAGTAATCTTCGCTTGGGTTTTTGACTTGGCAGCATCCATAAGAATGGCGTTCTCGACGCGTGACACTGCTTGTACGAACTCCAGTCCGCTTCCCTCGATGTCGGAGCAGTAGCGACGGAGCACGTCCACCGCTGAAAGTGCCTCGTGAAGCGTCGGACGAGGTGGACCTTCATCTTCAGAATCCTCTGCTTCCTCGCAGTCACCAATGGCAGCAGCTGCCGCCACATCCGCAATGATCTCTGTGTCCGAAGGGCTTGCAGCCACAGCAACGTCGTCGTCGGCCGTCAAAAAATCTTCGAGGTCGACTCCCTCGGGCAACGCATCAGGGAGGCTACCAAGTTCCTGCCAGAGGACTCCTATGTCATCGTTCTCTTGCACTGGGCCCGATGTTTCGCCGTTTTCCACGCCGAGTCCAGCGTGCCGGAAGCAATTTCGAATTGTGTCGCTCGTGACATCACACCAGGCGCGGCTCAGCATCTGGATCGCGCCCAGCAAGTCGATTTTCAGCTCTCCGCCGACGCGCATCTTGACGAGAAGTTGCTCTACAAGACGCTTTCGGTAGCCCTGTTTGAAAGCACGGATGATGCCCTGGTCAAGTGGTTGGAGCACTGCCGTTGCGTTGGGCGGCAGGAAACACAGCTCGATGTTCTTGAGCGATACACCGCAGTGGTGAGCGGAACAATTGTCGAGCAGTAGGCAAACCTTGCGCCCACTTGATGTTAATTCTTCGTCCCAGTCGCGGAGCCACGTCTCGAACAACACCCTGGTCATCCACGCCTTCTTGTTAAAGGTGTATGTTACGGGTAGGGGGCCGCATCCTCGCAAACATATAGGCGACTTGAACTTGCCAATGACTAGCGGGCGCAGTTTCGATGATCCGTCCATGTTGGCCGTCAAAAGGATCGTGACGCGAACCTTGCTCAGCTTTCCACCATGGCAGTCCTCATTTCGGAGCGCCAAGGTCCTGCTTGGAAGCAGCTGCCAAAATAACGCAGTCTCGTCCGTGTTAAAAATGTCACATGGCTTGTACTTCTCAATAATTGCCGGCCAGTTGTCATCAATCCACTTCTTGACGCCTTCCGTATCGACGGAACACCTCTCGCCAGCCACGACTTTTCCAACAATCGAGTAGCGGTCCTTAAACCGTTGCAGCCATCCAGTGCCTCCGGTGAAACCTTCAACCCCCAGGACGAAAGCGAAATCTTTCGCCTTGCTCTGCAGCATGGGACCAGAGACGGGTAGGTTCCGCGCGCGAATGTCCAGGAACCATTGGTAGAGAGCCTTCTCCACAGCGTCGTAGGCCGGTTTCCGGATGCGTTTGCTGTCGGCGTTCGGCCGTTCGCGGGCTTGGTTCTTGATCGTCGCCTTATTCTTTAGTATCGTGCTCAACGTGCTTCTGGCGATCTTGAAGGTTGCAGCCACGTCCGATTTTTTCTCGCCGCGCTCGACACGGCGAATAATGTCCACCTTGTCAGAAAGCGGCAGCGCTTGCCGCTGCTTTGTCGTCATTATTCTAGCAGACTGCACGCACTGCCAACCGCAACAAAAGAAAAATGGCGAAGACTGCCAACGGCAACGACGTGCTTGCGAAAGGACCCGTAGCCCCAGATGTGAGAAGGATGGCAAGGTTACGACGTTCTCCAACTCTCCGACAGATGGCGTTACGGCCGCGTCGCGGTTGTGCGGAGTACGCGGAGTCGCGCGTTGATCGTCAGCTCCGTTCGCTCGCTGCCCAAGGTCGAAGAAAGCTGGCTCCCTTTTTCTCTTTCCCTCGTTCGTTCATGCGAGGCGCGGAGCGGGCGAACCGGTTCTGCATTGCGAGGAAGCCAGACTCCGCGGGCGCCCGGAGCCGCTCCTTTTTTCGGGTATTCGCGAGCGCTGGGAATTCGATATATCCAATGTGCGGTTCGTTATGCGAGATATATTTTGCATAGATATTAATCAGAGAATTCTGTGTGTTCGATATAAGGAATAATTCGCTGTATCCGAGTTCGTTATAATCGGGTTTGACTGTACCGCCAGTGGCTTGGTGCAGCCTGTCGACATACTGTACAAGTTTGCAAAACATCTTCGATTGCTTGATCCATACCTGGCCACCAGAGTACTGGCCGTGCAAGTGCTTTTGTTGCAGTGATAAGGATGTGTGTGTCATGGAGCTCTTGAAGGAAAGCATATTGTGCCTTCTCAGGGGTGACCACTTTCTCCTTTTGGAAGAGAAGACTCTTCAGGGAAAAGCTATCTCTCTGCTGCCAGAAAGGTTGAAAAGCTGGATCTTTCAGTTTCCTTGGCCATCCTTTCCCGATTGTTTCTCGAAGCGCAACTAGAAAAAGACCTTTATTTTTCAGGTCTTCCAGCTGCTTCCAGGAATTCGGACTGATGTCCAGAATGCCCATGGCCTGTACTCAGCTGCTGTTTCTGGCTGCTTCAGTTTTGGGCTCATTGTGTGGGAGTGGTAAATGACTCAGCACATCTGCATTTTGGTTTGCTTGTCCAGGCTTGTACTGGATGTTGTAGTTGTACGCTCCTAGTGTGAGTATGTGCCGAACACTGTATTTTGGCAGCTGCAGTGGCTGAAGTTGCTCTGTTTTTTTTCTTTTTAAAGTCCCACCAAGGGCTCATGGCCCATTTTAAGTGTGAATGTTCTACCCAGCAGGTAGTCGCAAAATTCGGTTACTCTGAATATGAGTGCTAAAGCCTCCTTCTCCAGTGTTGAGTACTTTTCTCTGCACTGGTGAGTGTCCTGAACCTGAATCCCTTTGGCTTGTTCACTCCATTGATGTTATGGGACAACACCACCCAAACACCCTCCAGGGATACATCACATTCTAGGATCAGTTCTTGAGATGGCGTCATAGTGCACCAGGAGGCTTGACTACAGCAGCCTTTGCTTTGCCCTGTTGAATGCGAGATCTTCTTCGGGTCCCCATCTCCACCTCACATTCTGTCGGAGCAGGTTGTAGAGTGGAGCTAGATGCTGTGACATTTGAGGTAGGAAGCTCCTGTAATAGCTGATGAATTCCAGGAAGGAGCGAAGCTCGTGTAGGTTTTGGTGGTGCTAGGGCCTTCATGATGGCTTTGAGCTTCTGTTCTGATGGCTGGAGTCCATTTCTGTCAATCTAGTGACCCAGGTACAGAACTTTCTCACAGCCAAATTCACACTTGTCTACTCTTAAGCGAAATTGCCATTTTCCCGGAATGCCGCAACCACTTTCCGGAGGGTCTTGCCAAAGCCCTGGCACCTCTCTGCAACCAGGATGGCTGAAACAGAGCAGGAGTCGAGGCAGTGCCATACGGAAGACGGTTGTAGCAGTAAAGCCCTTTGTGTGTTGATCATACACGCTTTTCTGGATTCTTCGTCCAGGGCGACACATGTAGTATGCATCTCGCAGGTACAGCTTTGAAAACCAGTTAACCGCCCTTCAAATATGCAAGCATGTTCTCAATCCTTGGAAGGGGATATTGTTCCACATCACAGGCAGTGTTAAGTGTCACCTTGGAATCACCATAAATGCGGATTCCTCCATCCTTCTTAGTGACGGGCATCAGTGGTGTGGCTCACTCGGAATGAGGTACTGGTGGTAAGATTCCACTGTTGCACAATTACCTCTCCAGTTCTGCAGCGACCTTGTTGTGCAATGCATATGGCAGTGGATGTGCCTTCAGCAACTTGGGGTTGACATACATATCCTTCTGCAGGTTGAGATGTGCTGGGGCACCCTGCATCAATTCTTCTTTGAAGAGGTCTCTGAACTCTTCCTTTAGTGCCTTGACCGTTGTTGCCCCATTTATGCCCAAGGGCTGCAGGCTGCTGATGTGTTCTGCAGAGAGAAGCTGAAGCTGGTGGATCGTATCACGACTGCACAAGAGTGGGCCAGGATACTCCATCACATACAGGAACCTGTTAGCTTGTTTGACAGATGTTTTACTGGTAGGTGCAGGGCTACCACGACCGGCAGTTTTTCTAGGTAGCAGAACAAACTGCTGTCCGTTGCACTGAGCAGAGGCCCTGAAGCAGCATGTTTGCCTTAAGCGCCTTTCCACGTGACACAAACAGGTGAGCCAATGTCCAAGACCATGTTTAATGTCACCTGCCCCCATTTCAGAGGCTTGATGATCGGCTGAGCAGCTGATTGCACCATGCTCAGAGTACAGGCGCTGCAAGGAGTCACTCTCCACGAAATCGTCCTCCATTGACAAAATGTTGGTATGAAGAAACCAATGTTGTCGTCCTGGCTCGTGCTGGTGAGCAAGACAGGCACTTGCCAGGTCCCCGTTTCTTACACTTCAAGCATGTTGTCCTCTTGTGAGGGCGGTTGGGTGCAAGATGTGTACTGCCACCACAACAAATACACGGTCGTGCCAAGTTCTTCTGGGTGTTTGTTGAGCTCTCATCAGAAAGCGACGTCTCACAGTTGCTTGCAGTGCACCCTTCACTTGTTGGCAGTTGCGCCTGGCTGGTTGTATTAGACAACTGCGTCACATTCTCAGTCACTATTTCTGCAGCTCTTGCGATTCCCAGTGCCTCGTCGAGGTCCAGTATCTTTGGCTTGGCCAATAGTATCTCCTTCACAACCAAACCGATAGCGGAAATTTCCTCCAAGAGCAGCGACAAAATTGCAATTGTCCGCGATTTGGGAAGCTTGGCGAAGTAGCACGCCACTTTCTCACTCGGTCCTCGGACTTCTGTTTGGAAGCGGTACGTCTTGTAAATCTCCAAAGGTTCGAGGTTGAGGTGCTGCGCTAGTACCTCGAGGATGTCTGCATAGCTTACCTCCATAGGTTTCCTTGGCGCCAAAAGACTTCGTAGGCGAGCCTACATTTCAGCTCCCACCGACGTGATCAGGATAGATCACTTCCGCTTGTCGTACTCAATAAAATTTGCTTAAAAAAAAAGCTTCAAGCCTTTCGGTGTAGTTTGTCCTTGTTTCGACTCCTGTGTCGCATGCGACGAGCGTCGAGAATGTCGGTGGCGTCTGTTGTGAAATGTTGAGCTTAAATAAGCTTGAAACAACTTCAATGCTCACCGTTCATTGCTTCAGTCGTCCGACTCCATCTTCATTGCCAGCGTAGTATCCATAAGTACTTCATTAGGTACATAAGACTCGAAAGGTTACATGAGGGCTACATCATGGCTAATGGTCGAAGGAAGAACAAAGAGTGGCAGCAAGTCCACCGGAAACGGGAATGCCGGCCCCCTGGCGGACAGATCCAACAAAGACAAAGGGCATCTTTGTAACCCTCCAAAAGAGAGAATAATGAAGCTATCAAGTTCCCAGTGGATAGTGCATGCAGCCTCAGCAAATGTGACCCCAAGTGCTATGCTCAAGAAGCCCTACAAGAAGCTCCTAGAAAGCTGAAAATGTATGACACAATATAGAGCCAGAAGGGAAGTACCAACTGCACTTGACCAGCCCTACAACAAAAGACACTCATCAGGTTTGTACTCGCTGCAGGCAACTTGATGCCACTGCTGGGAAGAGAAACATCTCAAAGAATGCAGCTGATCACCATAAACCATGACCTTGTTTCAGCCATCAAGAACAACACAGGGTCCCAGTGTGATCTGCTGGCAAGAGAGTACCCAAACGTCTTAGGAGATGAACAATGATGCTTTGTGGGTCAAGGACATCTGGAAGATGACCAAAAGCCGAGCCTCCGACGTTGACATCGTGCAGAGTGCCTCTCCAACACAAGTCCCAATAAAGGCCGATTTTAAATGCCATCGCATTTAAAATCCGCATAAATTGGGGCTTGTGTTAGGAGAAAACAGGGCATGGGTGTGAGATTCCCTACCACCAGGGAACACTAGCGTGACTTAAATACTTGGAATCGCCCCTGTACCGAGAAAGGTAAGCAACGGAGCAAAAAAGCGTTGTTAAAGAAAAAGCAACTTCGCCACAATTAAGTGCGGCTTGTGCTCCGGGTCAACGCAAACTAAAGCTGTACTTTAAGAGATTTTTTCTAGGAAATTGGGTGCTTCCCATTTAAGGGCAGCTCCAATTCTGTCTCTTTCGGTTTTCTCTAATATCAAGAAAATTAGCGTTCATTTCCATGGGAGGCTGACCCCAACAAGGTCCAGGCCATTGTCAACAGGGATGCACTTTCAAGAGTCTTGCGGCCTTGTGGAAGGGTCAACCATTAGGCAAGGATAATTTCTGCCAGGTATATCTGACGTTATGGAGCCAACCAAAAGACTGACAGCCAAAAACACAAAACGGGCAGGAACTGATGAGCGCGACACCCCATTTAGCAAGCTGAAAGGGCTGCTGTCCTCTCAATCTATCCCAGCACAAAGAACTCTCCATACAGCATGATGCCAGCAAGGAAGCACTGGAAAAGAACTGGCCCCTATACACCTTTTCATCCTCAGTCGCATGGGAGCTGCCATCTGGGAATCATGTGACACGGCTGCCATTAGGTTGCTTCTGCTCGTCGCTCCACTCCGCATATGTGGTTTTCGTCATGTTTCACCACGCTTTCGTGCCTTATTCCGTAAAGTATAGTCCTATACTTATAACTACTACCTAATTGCCTTACATCAAATGTGCACAACTTTACCGTTAATTTTGTAATTAGATTTGACTATTTTTATTATCGACGTACTGAATGTGTGGGAGGATGTGGCACAGGAATCAGCATTGGCAGTCGAGCCACATTGATTATGTAAATGCCTAAGAGAGCACGAGGGTTGAAAGGTGAATCACTTGTAACAACTAAGGTTTATTTACAAATAGTGGTAGAACATTTGCAATTAGAAGCGCTAAATTGCAAATTTAGGATCAGAAGGTGTCAAGAATAGTCGGCGTATAAGGAGACGATGTCTGTTTCCCAAAAGCATCCTCCTTTGTATTCATAATAGATTGAAAACAGTACCTGTTCATTATGTGAGGGAACTCATGAAGGAGATAGGCAATGAAAGTTTAACTTGCATTTCATCTGATGCTAGGAGTAATGCTATGTCAACATCAGGAGATTTTTGATTTGTTATAATATCACACATACACAGTTTTACAGATATACAGTTTTAATAAACTGTATATTGTGCAGTTTATTATACTGTACAATATACAGTGTCTCTCGGTCCCATTTTGTCAGTCTTTCAAGTGATTTATTGTCTTTAGACAACGAGTTCAATACACTAAATTTATTTATCACAAAGGCTGGGACTTCATATGTAAGAAACTGTCACAAACAGCTTAAAGCGCCATTCACAGACTTGCAGCCGAGTAGGACCGAAAGAGACAAACCAGTTTTTCAGCCTCTTGCGGCAGCGTAAGACCTGCTCCGCAGCAGTGCATCCAATCCTATGTTGTTGCAAGAGGCTTAAAAACCGGTTTTGTCACTCTCGGTCCTATAGTCGGTGACAGGTCAAGAACGAAGTGGAAGCTCCTCCCACCTCTCTCCACTTTAGTAGAGCGAACGCGGGAGAGGAGGCGACCTCCTCTCCACCGTTCGCTCCGCTGCAGTGGAAAGGGGTGGGAGGAGCTTCCACTTCGTTCTTGACCTGTCACCGACTATAGTCAGTTGCAAGCGTGTGAAAGGCGCTTAAGAGTACAGAGTTTTAGAATAGCATTCGCAAAACCTTTGAATACGCACAGAACTAGCGTTGCCTTTATGGGCCTACCCCAAATGCAGTTTGGGCTTGGTGCATGCGCAGTAATCACAATACTTTTTTTTTTTCTTTCTTGCGTTTGCAAAAATTCTGGACATGCTGTTCTAACATTCGCCAGTGCCTGGAGTCCGCAATATTTGACGCCGAAAAAAGCCGTCTGCACAAAAATCAACCAGAGTCCATCGTTGTCGATGGCGAATAGAGGTTCACTTTTAGTGGCTGGCGACGCCAAAATTTATAAAGCAAGGGGGAGAGTACATGCAGCTCAAACTAGGGTGAGATTCATCGATTGACCTACTATTAATCAATTAATGATTTAATCGTGATTAATGTTTTTCTAAACTGATTCATCGGTACAATTTTGACGAACCAAATTAAATGCATTAATTTTGGACGAGTACACCTATATGAAGGGCAAAGTTCAGGTAAACTTTTAACCTAAAGTAAACTGTAAGGGCGAGATTCACAACTCCAGACAAGTGCAGAAGGTTACACGTGTCTCAGCCACTTCAACGCCGTGCCAGTGTCGGTTTAGCGCAGCAGAAAATATTGTGAGCAATCAAAGGAGGCCACTCTTGCCGGAAAATATCAACAAACCTCCTTGCCTCATGCAGCTGAAGTAATAACCTCCGAGCATGAGTGTCTCGGAACTCTTCTCGGCAATGTATACGGCGAGCAAGGGTTCTAAAATAAGTCTTTGGCGCATCGAAACGCAAAGAGGGGCACATCAATCGCAGGACAACGTAGAGAACGCGCCATGACGAGGCAATCGAGATTGCGCTGTCATTGGTTGAGGTCGGGGTGAAAACAAGCGCACGTGCGCGCATTTGGGAGGTAAGCGAACGCACAAGGTGTGCAAGGTGCAGACCAACTTGCACGCCGTATAGGAGTCGATTCAAAATTAAAATTGTATATGGCACCGTTTATCACATATTCAGCAAAGGCATACAAAAATATATGCAATTTCGATTTTAAAAAATTAACAAGACAGATTAATAGATTAATTCATTGATTAGAGGGTAGAAATTAGTCGGGATAAAATTTTTATGGACGCCCAGCCTTTGTTCAAACAAATAACAAGATGTTTACACAGGTCAATGCAGTGTTCCGTAGCGTTAGACTTCGGCCAAACTTTCCAAAGTACTTCTCCTGCACACTTTAATTTTATGGAAGACTAAATGTCAGATTTAATTAGACGAGCCTGTCAGTTATGTTATATCTTGTGTACACTGTAAGCAAATGTTCATATAAAAATAGTTTTATTTCCTAAAGGCAATATTGTGAAATGCTGCGAGTACTTTACAGGGCTGATAATTAAAGAAATTTCCTACTCAGCCTTGGTCGCACTGTTGAAATATTTCTAGAGTATATAATTTTTTTTTAAAATAAGACTTGCTGAGACAACATCAATTCTTTTTATAAATGTTCTGCATCATTGTACAAGACTTTTTCAGTCTGCGAAATTCACTACAAGTTGGGTGTTTAAGAAAACAAAACAGTCAGTATATAAACTCATAAGTTCATCCGTTCTTTCCGATTCAACACACTGCTAATCTAGCTGTCAACCTGCTTCATCACATTCATGTATTAGACTCTTCATTAGTTTATTGTTTTGGAAACTAGCGTCATTGAGTATGACTATAGACGATGGAAATCTCCCCTGCACATCAGGTCACTCGTTTCGCTGCCGACCGTAATGAGATGCATCAAAGGTGTTGGTAAAAAAGCCTGCAATTTAGGCTCGAACCCACTTCGCAGTCCTCAGCGTGGCTCAGTACCGCTGTTTCATTTTGTGCTGCAAGGTAAGCATTCGTATCACAAAATTCAGCAAAAACTAAATGAAACAGTAACACAGTCGCGAGCACGTCGAAACCGAAACCAACCAAATCGAAACAACCTAATAGTGCCCTCTATCCGCTGGTCAGGCAACTATGAGATGAAAAGGCCTACAGAAGCTGTGCTTAGGCTATTTCTTTACAACTTATTATATATTTACAACTTGATATTTCATTGAATCGAAAAGTGTCTAATCACTCGTGCCTATTCCCCCTTTTTCCTTCTTTTCTACTCAAATCATGGTCGTTCAATCTTTTTTTTGACAACTCCATGCAAAAGCCTAGGAATAGGTGACTGCAAAAAGAAGCTGTGGATAACTAACGAGGAAAAAGGCAAAGAAGTAAGGCGATGTTTAACTCGAGCTGGCAAAAAGAGAACAAAAACGGCATTTTCAACACTTACTTCACATTAGTAACATCACAATCCATTAGCACCAAGGACAGGTGCACTTCCTGGAAATCTCCAAGACCATGGCCCTGAAAGAGTAATATTAGAGTGAATTACTGAGCCCATAAAAATTAAGTTCCACAAATATCTGTATGTTTCATATAAGCATGAGGTTCTGCTGATCAACAGTTAACAACACAAAGCAGACATCTGTACCCCTTCGTAACGGCTGACGTGCTTCCACAGGGAAAACAATGTTGGGGAATAAATGGTATTCACTGGCAGCCATAGCAAGTTGTGCCGAACACCTGCTGGCGGTACGCTGCCACGAGATTTCCGCAGTCTGCATTCCATATTGTCATCCTTGGCTGAAATGGAAGCTCATACTTTCATATACTGCACCCAGTGATTTATAGAACCTTTGAAAAAATGAAAGACGTTTACAAATCTCTGTAATGGGAAACTAGAGCGCAGCTCTTGAGGAGGAGGGGAGGGTATGCCCCTCCTCCTCCTCATTCTCTTCCTCCTCCTGCCGCTGAATTTGTTCATGGGTGACGTCACATGAACTCGTGGCGTCATTTTCCCCGCTAAATTTAGCGGGGAAACAGAATTGCTGTTGAAGTCACGCGGCGTCAATTTACCCGCTAAATTTAGCGGAGAAACTGAATTGCTGTTGAAGTCACGTGACGTCACATTCCTCGCTAAATATAGCGGTGAAAGTTTTCCGCTAAATCTAGTGGAAAAATTTCCCCACTAACTTTAGCAGAAAACGTCCCATAATGCAATAAGCGCGGTTACGTTGACGCTGATGCCGCTCAACCCGAAAATGGGTGCCTAAGAGCTACGCTCTAAAAAAACGGACAAGGCTGAAAATACCGTAGCGGCACATGAAAAAGATGCTGACAAGCCCCGATGCTTATATAATTATGCTCCCTTCCAAGCAACTGTGCAGTTATACATGGCTTGCATGTGATGTTACCACACCATGCTGGTGGTCACACCCACTTGCTCTCACAAAGAAAAAACCTACTTGTTCCTGCAGAGAAAAACAAATCAGAGGGTGCAAAATGTAAGCTGCAGAAGGTATTCACCCAGCAGCAGGACCACCACAATGGTAGCCAATGTGACGTTAATACGAGCCATGCATAGGGAGTATTCACTCAGCTTGAAGCGACATATCACAGAAAGAGGAATCGCCATATGACCCACGTCGGTGTGGTAGAAGCAGTGATTTGCGGCAGGTGCCATGTGCAGTTAGCTTTCCCATGGCTCGAAAGCAAGCCAGTAATGCGGATAATTTACGTAAATAAGCATTTATTTCGCACAGAACAGGGTTCTCAAACGAGAGGCAACCCACGACTCGCTGGTAAGCGGCCCGCAGGATAGTGGCTGCGAGACTCCGTTCCCAAGTCTCGAGCGCTAAAAACGGCAAGCGTCGTAAAAATCTCACCGATTCATTTCCGAACGAAAAGTAGCTTTTGCCGAACTTTTGCCGAATCGAAAATTCGGCACCGACTCTTGGGATTTAGCACAGTCAAACTTTTCTAAAAATTCGGAAAAGATTCGGCAAAAATAATTGTTACCAGACTTAACGTTGATGTTTAGTGTTTTTGCCAAAAAAAGGTTTTTCTCTTTTCCTTAACTGAAATGTGACTTGTGATGCATATTGACACAATTATTAATAATAAGGTGATATTCTACAAGATAATTGTACCAATGTCATTTTTGTGCGTTTACTGTAAATTTTAGTGACTTCTTGCACAAGTGGCGTGACAATGAGGTTGGGTACTCTTTGGTTGGGTAGTAGCGGGCGCAGTCACGAATCACGCTACAAGAGTTTCGGTTTTGAGGCCTCATCAGCTCAAGCCTGCAAAAGTGTGTACATTGTTTAAATAAAGGCAATAACACCGCATTCTTAATTTCTGTGGGAGTCACTGTTTCATGTGCGAAAACAAATGCAACGGTTGCTGAGCCTTCACTGGAAGAGGTAACAATATTAATGTAAATATGCATGTTTTTTTATTTGAGTCACTTGATGTCAGCTTTGCATGAAAGTATGTGTCCCATATTCGCTTTTGTCTCATTTTTAACCTTTCAAATGCCGGCTTCTGGTTTTAGGACATACGCGGACGTTTAGGAAGCTGCAAAGGGTTAGGAATGTAGGATATGCAACGGCGAGCATGGTAGTTCTGTTTAGTTTTATGCAGATAGATGAAAAGCACGAAATAATGCTAATTAAAAAGCATTATTATTTTGTTTTGACACAAACTACCTGTGAGCCGAAAACAGGATTTTTATAATTGTGAGGAGAGCTTTAAAGTAATTGTCAGTCAATATTTTAACCACCTCGTTGCATCACTAAAAAGATAAAATGAAAATCACATCATCCACAATGCACCGCATCATTTGTCACTTGCGCAGTGGACTGCGTCATTTACTACTCAGTCTTCTGTTCTTGAGGCAGAAAATATTGAAGAGAACCACACTTACAAAGGTTACCGTGTTGCCTACTCCACACCTCACCATAACCGCTGGTTGTACCACACTGTACGATGGTAACCGCACAATCGCACAGCGTCCATTTGCAATCCAAGGCCCAGTCACGTTCACACACATACAAAGACATTTGCCGAATATTTATCGAATATTTGCCAAACTTTTCGTCAAAAGTTTGACATGTGCCGAACTTTGCCGAATATGAAGATCGGAAGATTCGGTTTATCACTACTAACTGCCAAAGATAAAGCTGGGATCGGGATTCTCACCTCAGGAGATATCACCATTAAAATACAAGTATTCTTTCAGTCTCTCTATAAAAATCGTCAGAAAGGCAATACCTCTCGTATAAAGAAATTTTTTTTATAGACAAGTTGCATTTGAAGATGGAAACCTCTTCTTGTGCATTCCAAACCGATTCTGGACGAGGAGTTCCAAAATCGCGGTGACCGTTGGTTTTTAAAAATAACAATTTTTCGCACAATGACATTCTACAAGGTCTATAATCGATCACAGTATCCAATCATTAAGTATGCATTTAATCTCTTACTTTCAAAAAAGCGAAAACTGTGCTCTGCAAATTTCGGAGTTCATTACAAACGCACAGCTTCACGATATCACTGTACAAGGCGCTAGTGTTCAGCAGGGGTGCAGGGATCAAAACTGACATAAGCCTGGCAACATGGGGAAACATTTTATGTCAAGAAAAAAGCCCGAAGAAGGGGATTCCTTCAAGAATTTTGTGCAGATCAGCAAATTTGAGAATCCAAATGCGAGTGCTGCATTTGAGGCGCTCAGATTGACGAGGAATGGCTTGAGTAAGTTGATGCATCACTGCGATATAGATGCATCACATTCCGAGTGGCCTCCTATTGCATCTCAAAACAAGGACGGCGTGCCGCCATCTTTGAGGCAGGTTGAATCACGTTTCCAATGTTTCCGACAGGTGGCACCACAAATATGAATAAGGTCTATTGAGCAACGACAACAACAGTGTGCTTGCTCTCTTATTCTATTAAAAATGCTAGCACATTGATGGGCCAGTGTCATTTTAATTCTTGTTATCACATCAAGTAAGGGCCCAAAGTAGTCCTATAAACAAACCAAAGCTGGTCACTGGCAAAACTGCAAGTTTAAAACAGCAGAGAGAATGAGGTCCATTCTCTACGAAATCTCTTGACCCTCCCCCCGACAAAGCCACCCGAGCAACAGTGACGAACGCGAAGAACACAATATTTTGAAGTGAACAGTTATTGACAGATGGCCCTAGCACTCTACTACTGGCTAGCCTTTTACGTTAATGACTTAGAAACGTGGCAATGGAGCAAGAGGACAACACCCAAATTTTGCTACATACACACATCCCAAACTGAAGCACATCTTATAGGACAAGCAATTGTTCGAAAATGCGTCTAGTGCATCGGGACGCATGAAGGGGCATGAAAACCGTAGGGCAATATACGAAATGTGCAGGGAACACTCAAGGATGAGGCAGTCAAGCACGCACCGTCTTTGGTTGAGATTGGGGGGGAATAAAAGCATCTGGGTGCATCTGGCAAGTAAGCAAACGCACAAGGTGCGCAAAGCAGACGGGCTTGCACGCCTTCTACGGCAAACGCACAAGGTGCGCAAAGCAGACGGGCTTGCACGCCTTCTACGGTCAGAAACCAAGAGAGAGAAGGAAACGATAGCACGCTGGGAAGCCAGAACACCGAGCTTTGGTTGGATTGATTAGTGGGTAGACGGAAAGCTAGCCCTTTGCATCTACCCACTGCTCAAACACGTCCGTATGCTCTCATCTGCTCCTCCCTCAGTTCCTACCTGTATAGAATCTGATCGTAACATTTATTTCTTTTTCAACGCCTGTCGCTACTATCGTTTATGGGGAAAGACATCCAAATTAAAAGTTTATCATCATCAAATGCATACACCGTATGAATGTAGACGACGCTTAACCCTTATTGTTTTTAAGGGTATGATCGCAAATGGGGAACGACATCCAGTGCATAGGACTAGCGGATATAAGCACACTCGTCTCATGCTTGAGGTAAACGTTCATTCCAATTTACGCAATCTGTGATATGTCATTCTACTGTAAGCACAGTTGGCCAGCACAGCGTGCAAACATGACCGGCCCGTTGCGACTAAACTTTTTCGATGTGACATGTTTTTTTCGGAGAGCCGTTTGCACACGCATTCACTTCAAGCCCATGGACGTTGGAACATGCACGGTAAACATCAGCCATATGCCCACCAACATGACAACAGCCAACCATGGTAAGAGAACACTATGCACACAAGAAAGCAGGTAGGAATGGGCCTCTCCGGTCTTCAGTGCACACACCTAGCACGCAGCGATGGCAACTTAGCAAGACCACTGAATCATGGCGCCACGTGAATACTCATTGTGGAGCGGCATGTTTTCAGAGCTTTAAAAGGTATCAATCCGAGTAGGTCAATTTGGGCTACCATTAAACCTATATCATGTCATTTTCATATTGAAAATGACTAGGCTTTGGCCAAATGGTTGAATCTGTGGTGTAGAAGCATTCCAATTTATTAACACACGCAAAAAATAAAAAGTAAAAACCAATGTCGTCATATGGCGGCCATTGAATGACGTATTTTGAGGCAGGTAAATCCCGAAAACAAGACCGGCAAATTACAGCATCATAAAGCGACAAGCAAAATTACAAGCATTGCCGTAACGCGGGAATGCATAACAATTTCGAGTTCAATCGCCGACCTTGCATTGAACTACGTGATCGGCGATGAATATCAAAACCGCGAACTCGGGCAGCCAAAAGCACTGGAACGCCCTCAACGGCTAAAAGCGCGCGATAAGCAACCCGCGCTAAATACGTAGCGACACAAACGCTTTGGCGCCTCGCCGCCTGTGATAATCATATCGGAACTGCCCCGCTTCATACCGCGGTGTTATCAGAACGTAAGTAGCAATGCACCAAGCCACGGACAACCAAAAGTGCCTGGAGAGGTTCACATATATGAAACCCGCGAAACCCGCAAATGAAATAGCTCAACAGTTCCGCTAAAAACAACCGGACCACAACGGACGCCCGAACTCTACTGGGCCCCGAAGACCCGAGGTCCCGAGCACTGTATTTTGTTTCGAGGCGGTATAATATTTAAAAAAAAACTTACATTAGCAGCTTTCGCGAGCAAGCCTAACTTGGCGGTTCTTGCCTGTTGGAAGCTTCTGTTGAGAGACGTTAGGAGGTGATTTTGAGTTCGTACTGCGCTTGCGCAGTTGACTTTTTTAGGCTTAGGAATATTCGATTTCCGGTTCAGGGACTAGCTGCCCCGCTACCCTCTAGGCCGCTAGACGGCGCCCAACGGCAACAGAGGTGCTGCGCCGTCTAGCGGCTTACGCAATTTAACCCAGTTTTTCACTTTTCTGACTTTCCCCGATGTTAATATTTCTTATTTACGCACTCGAATCCGTATTTCCTGCTAATTTTGCATTATATATGCTTTTAACCTTTGTTGTTGTGGGCAGATTTTCTTGATGTAAACAAAAGATCACCCGCAGCACTCAACGATGCATAATAATCGTTTGATAAACTCGTCTTCAAATGAAAACTTGGTGATTTCACTTTAAAATATGATGACGAAGAGCTTAATCTAACAGAGTAAGTGTAAATAATATAATGTAGACTTTTCAATCTTGTTATCACGCACGTCGATTGATCACATCTTTTTTCTTCAAGGTGTGGATTTATTTTAAGTGTTGGCACCATATGCAGTCATTTTTTAATACTGATATCGGTCATCGAAAATGCATCAAGAAATTCTAAAAGGCGAACAAATATTTATGCGATGCGAATGCGCATTCGGCAATGGGCTACGCATGGTGGTGTAAAGATGGCAAGCAAACAACATTGAGTATCCTCAGTGTTGTTGACCGAAATATTTATGTCAGGACCGCAGCGATGCACTTTCTTCGAAGGCGTGGACTTCCAATCTAGAAAGTGTCTCAAATTAAGGAGGGGGGGGGGGGGGGGGGGGGGGGGGAGGAGGATCATGTTCGCGTTTTATGAATTTATGAGCAACCGTATCGGGTAGTGAAAGGCTTGTGCTAGCGCTCATGGCGTGCACGCGCGGTTTCTGCCGAACCCCCTCGAACCATTGATTTCTGAAATTGGTGGCTTGCATAGCAACAAGCTCTTTCACTTCAAACACAGGCACGCAAGTGTTCTAAATGATTTCGGCTTGCAGATATAAATCAGCTGCTTTTATTTTCACTATTCGAACTGCATGATGCAAATATTTTAAGGCCTTCGGAATTGTTTTCATATCTTATTAAATATGTTTTGTGCAGTTCAATGCGCTTCAACACCATGCATTAGGCACTGATCTATGGATAAGGAGCAATTGCATCTGTAGAAGATACTTTTTTGTTTTACTTTTTTTTTCCTGCTGTGTTGACATTCAAAACAGCTATTCCAGACTTGTGAATGGAAAATGTATTCCATGCATCACTGCATCTAGGTACTCGCTGATAACTATGTGTGAAATGTTAAAAATATTTTAAGGGAACCAGGCTGTGTTTGCAGAGAAGGGCAAAAGTTTTATCAGAGATGTGACCAGTTAATTTTCCTGTGCTAATTGCTTTACTTTTTTTTCCCCCGATATGCGCGGTGATTGGTATTTTCTCTCCGTGAAAAACCTTTCATAACGGAAATGTACAATGGTTGCTGTGTGGTGCGTCATCATTTAGTTTTTTGGTTACTGGATGTTCCGGAGATCTTGCACAATCACTCTTTGCGCGGAACTACGTGGTAGCCGGTGGTAAGTTCGCACGGTAGTGTTTATCCGCAGGTTTCCTAATGCGGATCTTACGCGACATGCTGGTGCCGTTTAAACGTTTCATGCATTTGCATCTGATGTGCTAACCAAGAGCAGTTACTGTATGGAGGTGCCTTCAGCTAGAATCACGAAACAAAGACGAATACTTGTGGCCAAGCTAGGCGAGGAGTTTACGTCAAAGCTCTCATGAATGGCCATTGGTGTAGCTTCCGAAGTTTATCGCGAGAAGTCTCCACCGTGCCAGCCGTGCTCGCGATCGCAACGCGAGTACGCGAGCACGCGAAGACGAGAATAATCTTTTATCTTTAGAAGATGTTCTCAAAAATTGTTTTTCAATGAGTGCACGGATATTTTAACACAAAATAAAAACATAAGAGCCTCCGGAACAACCAGTTTATGAACCGGAACTACGCCATGGAGTACGAAACTCTGGCTGCGTCAAAGATGTAATAAATGGATAAATCAATGTTTACCCTGAACTGGGCGACCTCTTGCGCCACCTATTGATTGTATTTTCCTATGCACGCTCTCGGTCGTATCCAAAGTTTGCCGTGACCTCCGTGGCCTCCGTGCCTCCGGAGGAAGCGCAAGTGAATAAAATGTCTTCTTTTAGTGCACGAACCGTTTTGGTAGAAGGCTGCTGGTTCGGCCTTAACCTGTAGGATCGTTGTACAAAAAAAAAAATTAATGCAGCCGCGCGGCACTACTGCTAAGTACTCACTCAGAATAGTAAAAAAGAACCAACGATAAAAACAAACATGACCGAACTTCCGGGGGGAGTATGTTGCTTCCGGTTGGCTATTGTTCTTTCCTTGTTTTTCAAGACCCGCAGCAATTAGCGCGTGCTTAAAAAGTCTCACCGCCGAGGGCTAAATGTGGTACCTGAAATTTACTTATACGGTATCGACAAGCCTTCCTGATCATATGGGTGAAAAGAAAAAAAACACTTGTTCCTTAGTGAAATGATAAATCCACCGAAGGTGTCGGAAGCGCGACCTGGTCCATATAAATGAGAACGACTTAAAATCTAAAACCTTAAGCGCGTTCAACTACTTCGTGAACGGCAGTGCGTCGGCGACGGGCACCTACCTCCCCCAGGCGCCGAAGATACGCGTAGCGTTTCCCCACAGGGGACGAGCTGGGTCTCGGTTTTAACAGACACTATTCGGAAAAGCTTTGATTACTTTTCCTTCAGCGCGACGCGAGTCTCTGTAATGCCCAACTTTCTAATGCTTTGACATGTCTGTTTTGGTATTCAATTTTTTATTTTATTTTATTTTTTTTTTTTTTTTTTTGTCGTAACGGACCGGTTGGCACCTATCTTTTTTTTTTTTTTTTTCGGAAATTGGCGGTGGAGGCGCCGCTGGCGCCGCCACGGCACTATTTGGAATCATCGCGTAGAGAGCCTTGATTATAGAGAGTGACCATCTCAAACCATAGGGAGCGTTCGCAATGTAATGGCGGACGCCTCGCGCGCCGATTCGTCACAAATGCCCATGCGCTGCGTTGCGGCGTGGCGCGGAGGAGTGCAGCAGGAAAGGCAGAGGCGCTCGCAAGATAAACACTTTTGTCCCCTCCTTGCAGCTCGTATTGCAAACGCGGCCTAAAAACCACGTGACCCTACACGAGCAGTTGGAACACTCATCGAAGTTGTAGGCGAGCACCATGGCCTCCGAGATCCCGAGGCGCGCCGCGAACGCTTCTCCGGCCGTCCCATTCGGGCGGAGAGGTCGCAATCGGAAAAAGAGAAAAACGCGGCGTTCCTCCGCGGCGAGGCGCTCTCAACCCAGGCATCCAATTCGACGTTTCAGTGGTTTCTCGCATGGCGCGTGGGAGAAGAGTCCAAGAAAAAGTCTTGTTACGTTGAGTTACTGCAGCTTCTACCCGCAGACTTCTGTGTCTTGTGGTAGAACGGTGAAAAGCTGTTCCGGGGATATTGATAGTCAAGTTGTGATGCTTATTTAATTTAAGATACTGTTTTGCGAGGACCTCATTTTTGCGAATTTTGCAAATCGCCTACAATTCGCGAAAAGGAGGTCCCGCGAACAATCTTGGTAATATGTAAACACATTGGAATCTATATTGCGATCCCACCGCGTCTCGAAAATTAGAACCCACGAATTATTCCAAAACTTCAGCTTTGACCTAAATCACGAAATATTGAGCTTGTGAAAAATAAGTCGTTTGCATTCATCTAAACATGTTGCGGCTAGCGCTACAGCGCAGCTTTTGATATATTTGACTGCAATCTGCAGCGCGTATAAAACTCAAGAAAAAATTTAGTTCCTTACATAAGAAAATTAGAATTTCCGTAAATAAAAAGTTAAATACGTTTTCAATTCTCTGTAGCTCCGAATTGGAGCGCCGCTCTTGAGGAGGAGGGGAGGTTACTGAGGGGGGGGGGGGGGGTATGCCCCTCCGTACTCTCCCATCCTCCTCTCTTGCTCCCCTCCCATTTAGCGGAAAATTCCCCGCTAAATTTAGCAAAAATTTAGTGAGGAATTTTTTCGACTAAATTTAGCCGGGAATTTTTTCCGCTAGATTTAGCGGGAAGATTTCCCGCTAAATGTAGCGGTAACATTTCTTCGCTAAATTAAGCGGAAATTTTTCCGCAAAGTTTCCCAGGAAATTTTTCTTCTAAATTGAATTGTAATGCCACGTGACACAATGAAATTGACGTGTGACGTCGTTATGAGAAACGTCCCACTAAATGTATTGAAAAATTTCATGCCAAATTTAGCAGGGAAATTTTACCCTCGTGACGTCACACATGACGTCACATGTGACGTCATTATGGGAAACGTCCCATAATGCAGCGCGCGGTTACGCCGACGCCGGCGACGCTCAACCCGGAAACGGGAGCCTAAGAGCTGCGCTCTAAAATGATCATGCTGTACTTTTCTTTTTCTAGAGCGCAGTTCTTAGGCGCCCGTTTCCGGTTTGAGCGGCATAGCTGTTGTCGTCGCCGCCGGCGTAACCGCGCGGGGCATTATGGGAAACGTCCCATAATGACGTCACGAGGGTCCTGCGGGTTGCATTATGGGAAACGTTGCATGATGCAGCACACGAGTTTCACCCGTGACCTGCGCGTTGCATTATTGGGACTTTTCCCACAATGACGTCACGAGGGTCCCGCGGGTTGCATTATGGGACTTTCCCCATAATGACGTCACACGTGACGTCACGAAGGTAACGAGTGACGTCACGGGGGTCCCGCGCGTCATTATGGGAAACGTCCCGTGATGCAACGCGCATGTCGCTCGTGACCCGTGCGTTGCATCATGGGACGTTTCACATGATGACGTCACACGTGACGTCACGAGGGTCCCGCGCGTTGCATTATGGGAAACGTCCCATGATGCAACGCGCATGTGACTCATGACCCGCGTGTTGCATCGTGGGACTTTTCCCATATTGACGTCACACGTGACGTCACGAGTGACGTCACGAGAGTCTCGCGCGTTGCATTCTGGGAAACATCAAATGATGCAACGCGCGGGTCTCACTCGTGACCCGCGCATTGCATTATGGACTTCCCATAATCACATCATACGTGACGTCACGGGGGTCCCGCGCGATGCATTATGGGAAACGTCCCATGATGCAACGCACGTGTCACTCGTAACCCGCGTTGCATCATGGGACGTTTCACATAATGACGTCACGAGGGTCTCGCGCGTTGCATTACGGGAAACGTCCCATGATGCAACGCGCGTGTCACTCATGACCCGCGCGTTGCATCATGGGACGTTTCCCATAATGACGTCACACGTGACCACGAAGGTAACGAGAGACGTCACGAGGGTCCCGCGCGTTGCATTACGGGAAACGTCCCATGATGCAACGCGCGTGCCAATCGTGACCCGCGCGTTGCATGATGGGACGTTTCCTATAATGTCGTCACACGTGACGTCACGAGGGTGCCGAGCGTTGCATTCTGGGAAACGTCCCATGATGCAACGCGCGGGTCTAACTCGTGACCCGCGCGTTGCATTATCGGACTTCTCATAATGACATCATACGTGACGTCACGAGGGTCCCGCGCGATGCATTATGGGAAACGTCTCATGAAGTAACGCGCGTGTCACTTATGACCCGCGCGTTGCATTATGGGACGTTTCACATAATGACGTCAAGAGGGTCACGAGGGTCCCGCGTGTTGCATTATGGGAAATGTCCCATGATACAACGCGCGTGCCACTCGTGACCCGCGCGTTGCATCATGGGACATTTTCCATGATGACGTCACACGTGACGTCACGAGTGACGTCCCGAGGGTCCCGCGCATTGCATTCTGGGAAACGTCCCATGATGCAACGCGCGCGTCTTACTCGTGACCCGCGCGTTGCATTATGGGACTTCTCGTAATGACATCATACGTGACGTCACGAGGGTCCCGCTCGATGCATCATGGGAAACGTACCATGATGCGACGCGCGTGTCACTCGTGACCCGCGCGTTGCATCGTGGAACGTTTCCCATGATGACGTCATGCGTGACGTCACGGTCACTCGTTAAGGTCAGGACGAAGATATGCCTCGCCTTCCATACACTTCGCTCCTCCTCAAGAGCTGCGCTCTAATTCGCTATTACAGGGAATTGTAAACGTCTTTATTTTTAGAGCGCAGCTCTTAGGGGCCCGTTCCCGGCTTGAGCGGCGTCGCCGTCGGCGTCGGCGTAACCAAGGTCGCCCCAAGGTTACGCGGCCCCCAAGGTCATCCCAAGGTCACGTGACCCCTTCCCCAGGGTCACGTGACCCCCAAGATCACGTGACACCCAAAGTCACGTGACCTCGGGGGGTCACGTGATCCCCCGAGGCACGTGACCCCCCTCCCCGGTCACGTGACCCCCCGAGGTCACGTGACCACCCCCAGGGTCACGTGACCCCCGCCGAGGTCACGTGACCTCCCCAATGACGCCATCATCACTGATGACGTCACTAGCATCCGCATCGTCATCGTCATCATCACTGATGACGTCAT